TCATGGTTGATGATTAAGTCATTTCATGATTTGCAATTGTAGTGCAAGATTTTTTGTACATACATTTGCCGGTATCTCCTTCTTGTGTTTTTGATGTGAATGTGAAAGAGAGTCCTTTTGATGCAGTTTATTTTGTCTGTGAATGAAAGCGGCCGAGACCACTTTTCGAGAAGACCATTCCTCGGACCGAGAGTTGACGCTCCTTGCATTTTGCAAGGCATCTTAATTCATTGCATTTGTGCGGTCTTGAATTTTTAGTTCCTTGTTACGCGAGTGTCGTTTAATTCTTTTATAGGTCTCTGTAGAGAAAAAGCCGCTTTCCCTTTTAGTTTGATTTAGCTCAGGCCCTAAAGAGCTAGTGAGCGCCGGTACATGGTATCTCCGCCTGCGAAAAGTACAGTCTCCAGCCGAGGTACATTATCGCTTTGATTTTGTACTTGAGGTGAGTCAGCTATTGCTCCCTCACTGTATTTAGTAGCTATGAGATTACCTTCTCTGAAGTGTGAAACACACTGGATTAGGTAAGTACATGGCACCGTAGTTTTCTTTTAAGTTGTCAGAGCTAGCTGGACTGTTTTAGCCTTACGGTAGAAAAATAGTGTGCGACATACGCAATAGGCAGGAGTGGACATGAATTTTGTGCCTGCTGAAATGTAGAGGCCTACTTGTACAGGTTCCACTCCAGTGGCCTATCTAGTGTGTCCATGCTTGACTGCCATAAGGCTCAAGAGAGGGTCAATGGACCTAAAGAGATATAGGATAAGACTCTGCGTGAGTAAAAGACACTAGCGGTCTGCACCTCTACCGTGTACGCCCTAGTCACTCTTTCACCCCCTCCCCCCTCTAAAATCAATTCTCTCCTGGAGAACGTCTTCGTGAGCCTCTCATGATTTCAGGATAGTTGAAACCCTCTTGAACATTCAGAAAGAGTGAATGTGAAATTCTAATCACGAAAGGTGTTCCCCGAGGGGATACATACCTAGAGTTTGTTTTGTGAAGCACGTCAATTCTCTCCTGGGGAGCGTCTTCGTGAGCCTCTTATGGTTTCAGGATAGTTCAAATCCTATGATGTTCCGATTCAATGCTCACCGATGATCTGAGCCATGGGGCAAGTTTGTTTTCCTAAGAATCTTTTTGAACATTTCGAGAGCATATGTTTGAACATTTAGAGTGCATATGAACATATATTTACGAAAGGTCGCCTCCGAGGGGATAAATCACCATGTCGAACATTGCATTTTTGTTCCTGCCTCTCGCGTTCTCTTCTCTTCCCGCTGTCCTACCTTTCGTGTCTCCCTCCTCTCAAGTCACGATGGACACGAGGTTTGCACTCAGTGTTACCCACCAGTCACCGATCGCCCCGGTTGGTTGATCCAGCGGTAGGGGCGTAAAGGGATGTAAACATATACGTAAAAGGTATAGAGGATGCATGAGGATACACCCCGGGCTTGAACAACCAAGGTACTCGTACCTGGATATGGATGTTCGCCAGGAGTCACAGAGGGGTCCTAGGTGAGTGGATAATGCCACTCATATATAATCTCCATTAAATTAAGCATCCCTTTGGGACAGCTAGTATGCTAGTGGATTCTTCCAAAATACATTTCTACCGTGTGGGAAGCCGTGTTTCTACCCAGTACTGGGGTGATTCTTTTGGACACCCCGAGTCACCTCCTTCTGGGTCTACAAATAGAGACAGGCTTCTTACTGGGGACCATGGTACTTGTTGAAATGTCATCAGTCTTTCGGACATGAGTCTTTTTTGAGCGGGTGTAGGGGTGTATTGAAACTAATCCATTCAAGTCACCCACGTCGCCCAGTACCAAGGCGGACTTGCACCGTGGCGAAAGCGATTTGGGTGACGGCTATGTCCCACAAGTTCAAAAAGGATTCTACAGCACCAAATTGAGTCCCACAGAGGCCAGCCCGGTCCAGAAGGACACAACGTGACATATGTAATTAACTACATAAATTGATAATTACATATATATATATATTATACAAATATATATATACAGTCTACATACATATTTATATGTGTGTAATGTGTATACATATATATATAATACATAATTTTATATGTTAATATAATGTTGTTTTTGGTGCGGTCGCCGACTGTTTCCGACATGAACGCGGTTCTGACAGAACTGACTGGTCAAAAGGATTATACAACAACGGCGAGACTGCAAACACCCCTTTTCTTGCCTCATTGTGCTAACAGAGAGCTAACTGCTTTCTTTTTTTGGGGGGCACGCGACTGCTCCAGAGTCTACACGAGGTGTCACTCTCTTCCGAAATTCTTTCTTGAAAGGTGTCCAAACCACGGCTGCGCATTACATCGCATTACTCTTTTCGGCTCCACACCACAAAAGACTCAGTAACAAGAAGCTACTAGTAGCCATAGAAGCTACGGTGGAGGCCGCTATTAGGTTCCTTTGGCTACAGCGACCGACAGCTCTCATCGTCCAGCTCTCCAGGTCTACCGCTGCCGCAGCGAGGCGCCCTGCCCAGGTGGAGCACCGGGCACCTGTGCGGGCGGCCTGGTCGACACGCCCTGCGCCCAGTGCCATGAAGGCCGGTCGAAGGCGATTGGTGTTCGCCCCCGAAAAACCGGCAAGCGCGAACCGGTCCGACGTGGTTGGGGGAGAGGCAGAAAGCCGGCCTGGTCAGACACCTGTTTTTTTCTCCAAAGAGGTTAAGGGAACAACTGGGGCTTCTGAAAGGCTTGGGGTCTCCGAGGATAATTTTGATCAGTTGTCGTGTGTTGTTTTGGGGCCCAGGAAGGTTTGTCATCGCGATGTCGCAACCCACTGGTAGGTGGTTTACAAAGAAACATACTAAATTGTGCTTAGTTCATGTCGAATCACCTTGTTAATCACCTTGTTGAATCAAAACCATTGTATAGAAGTGCCGTGAATCCAAAAACATACCGAAACATACCCAACAATTTATTGGACTTGCAATTTCACAATATGTTACCAATCAGTTGGGGTGGTTTGGGAGGTCAGATCATATTCCATGGAGAGTTTGGGTACTAGTATGAACACCCCGAATCCCCAGAGATGCGCTTCTCAGCACTAAAAGATTTAAGCTCAAAACAAAAGCAAACCAGAGTCAAAGCAAAAACTCAACTCAATATAAACACACCAAAAAGCCAACTCAAAACAAACACAATACCAAACTCAGCTCAAAAAAGACACCGAAAAGCCACCTCAAAACACAAACAATACCAAACTCAGCTCCAAAAAGACACCGAAAAGCCAACTCAAAACAAAACCAATGCCAGACTCAAATTTTTAACAATCAAACACAGCTCCAAGAAAAAGAAAACCAAGGAGCAAGACTTTATTTTCTTTTGAGTATTTGAGTATTTTCTGAGTTTTGTTTTGAGTCTTTGTTGATATCTTTTTGAATATGGAATTTATCATTGCGCTTGTTTTTCAACTGTGTTCCACATGTGCCAAATGTTTTATTATTTACTGTAACTTGCTATTTGACCTAATTATCAATCATCTGGAGAACATGAGGTGTCAATTACTAATCTCAGAGTCCAAAGAATTTCTCACAAGCCGCGTGGATTTCTTTGCGATCTCTTGACAAGTCCGATTCTTACAACGCAGGGTCTCACAGGGTTCCCCTCTCCATTTTGAAGGCCAAAAAAGGTTTGGGTGTAGAAATAGGGAGACCCTTGAACGAATCGTGGCAAGAGGCAAGAACGAACACATACATTTCTGTTGCATGTGTCAATAGGAAGACCTCCCAGGCAACCGTGGGTTCGGGAAACGGGAAATAGACCAGTCCACGCAGCCAGGGGCGAGATTTTGGAGGTCTATACCTTTAAGTTTATTAAACTAAAATACATGCCGATTTGCAAGCAAACCCAGTGGCTGGAGCTGCTTCTCTCGGACTCTGCAGGTTCAACATGGACGGGAAGTGATTGCGCTGACTGTGCTGGATGGCGACAGGTCTTATGGGCCTGGAACTTAGATGGTCGGTTCCAAGAATTGGTTTAAGGGAACATCTACAGGAAAACCCATAGTTTTGGGATGTTTTTTTGGTGAAAACCAGGGTTAAACCAATAGATTCAATAGATGTTATCTTAAACCACATTTTGATACATTCTTTGCTGAAAGGAGTCAGTTATATAGTTGTTCCATGTTGTTCCTTTGCTGCCTAAACTTGACAACAACCCTTTTTCAAGGCTGGACAGAGGAGGAAAGAGGAGGTTTGCAACCTTAGACGACGATCCCCGTAGTGACCGTCGTCTAACATGAAAGGTTCAAGAAGGTGTCGTTGTTGATTGATCTTCACAGAACACTTCCGCTGCAAGAGGGGTCAGAATGGTACGTGCCAAAGCAGTGTCTCAGGCCGTATCTGCTCTCAGGCCGTATCTGAGAATTGGTCCATCGGGAGTGTTTGAGTTCAACGGGAAACACACGAACTATCACTACAGTAGATATTATGTTAATGTATCTTAATCCAGTGGTTCGTTATGGTTCGTTGGTTCACTGGTGTAGCATGGTTCGATACTTTGTCAGTGTTGCCAGTGGTCTCCAATGTTCACACCCTCGGGCGATGTGTCTTCTTTTCTTGACACGTTTCGTCGGGGAGCTGGCACAAACATTTTCCCGGCAGTCGCAAAATCCAAATGTGGAGGTGTTGGCGCATGCTAAAGTAGGCCACCTCCGCAAACGCATCGCACGGACACGGCCTTTTCAATTGGCAAGTCCTGACCAATTCTCAGGGCATGTTCATCGTGGGCATCTTCGTCTTCTTGCTGGCGCTGTATCTCACTGCCAAAAGTCATGAGCTTTATTTTTCTTTGATGAGAGGAGTCTCTTCATCCAAGCATTCAATCTGGGAGAACCGGACATTCTTTCACAATTAGACGAATCAACTTCCTGCCGCCCAACTGGCCTTATATAATTAGGACAATCACTGTGAGCTGAGCTTGAGCTTACCTTCTTCAGCTGGACTCTGGTGGCTCGCCCGCATCACAGGTACTACTTGACATCCAACAAGGTCACGGCGAAAGCCACGGTGCTCTTCGCAACGACTGCCTCCGTGGGCTTGCTGGCGACCTGCCGGGATTGGGAACAGGAGACGATGGTGAGTCCGTTCGGACAACGCCGATCCCATGTTCCGAATCGAAGAACACCAAGTTTTTCCGCTCGGCTTTCGGCCGGCGAAAGCCGACGAAGCGCTTCTGGAGTTAGGTGATGTCCATGCAGAATCTGGGCTTGATCGGCATGATGACCATTGACTGGCCCGAGAGCCTGAAGGGACGCTTGGACGGAGTGCCACCGAGTACGCCTGGGTTTGTTGGCGTTTTTCCGACCGGGGAGGAGGGAGTGCCAGTGGTTCTACACGAGGGGACACTGTTCGTGGGTTTCACGGTGCAGGTTGGTTCGAAAAGTCAGGGAAACCTAGGGCAACCATCACCAGCGTCACCACCCAGTTCGGGTGGTTGTTGAATGAATTTACATGATCAGCGGGGACAACAAAAACCACACGCTTCCTGGGTGATGCTGGCGATTGGCTACTTGTAATGGTGACCAAACTGCATGAGCCAGCGAAACCCCGGACTTCCAGAATCTCCCAGACTTCGAAGGAAGGCAATGAGGCTTTGGTTTGATGTGGGAAACCACGACGCTTTGTGGGATTTCTAGAGTGCTCTTGGGATTGCTTCCGGACCAGGACCCTTAACTCATGCTAATGTGGCGATGTGTGACTTTTGTCAATCGTCATTGTCCTTCATGTCAAACTCTAAAACCAGATGCACTTGTGGTCACTCTTGGTGTAATGTAGAAATCCGCTTGAAGTGAACCAATCGAAAACCTGAAGACCCTTCAGTTGAGCCGTGTGAGTGCAGGCTTCTTCCAAAACCGCCTTTGATTGTCGGAATTGCTTGAATAGGGAACATCTAAAAAGGAAACCGTATTGTTTTGGAGGTGAACACGTATGCTGTCCTGCCAATTTCTCCCTGAAACCAATCCATTGATCCCTTTTCTCATGGCACTCGACATGAGATCCTCTCGTCTCATTGGCATCGGTGTGTCTTGCTTCACACGTCGCGCCCGGAAACCGGGAGTTTTCGATTAGGAAGCAGTCAACGGACCCAGGATTCTGGTTGGCGTCGGTTGAAACTTGAAACTACAACCAGAACTGGCCAGACTAGCCAGAACTGGCGTCCTCAAAGCATCCGGTCGACCGGTCCGCTTCTCCGGTCACCCGGCGTGGAACGAACGGTCCCCAAGGCATCTTTGGCGTTTGCCAATTCCTCCTACTCGATATTGATTCCTATGGCTTCAGTTGCATCGCCGGCAACTCAACATGCGATTCTACACCAAGATTGTGGCAAGTGTGAAAATCATTCAACATATATTTAAAGAATATACGAATGTGATGTTTGGTTCGGTGTTCTGTCAATCACATGTCATTTGTGTTCTGTGTGGATGCAGGCAATTGCAGGGCTCTGTTGTGTGAAGGCATTTTGCCAGCCGTTCTTTTTGGATTCCCTGACAACAATTAGAGCCAACAACATTGAAACAAATACAGTGATTTAAGGATCCTGGATAAGGAATTGTGATTTGACACATATTATATAAATTATATACTATGCACATAAACAATGAACCCCACATAAACAATGAATGGCTTGCAAAGACAATGACTGGCTTTGACTTGCTTCTCTTATCACTATGGGGTTTACCCAATTCCCGGTTGCATGTGGGATGTTAACGACGAACATGGCGAACAGAGTTGGCGAACATGGCAAAAAAAAGTGGGGACAGGTCTTGGCGTTAGACAGTTCCTCCATGTAGAAACGTGGCTCTCTTGGGAAACTAATAAGACAAATCCTAGCAAGTCCGATTTTACCACTTTGGCCACATCCAGTGGATGAAGTGAGGAAAAGAACAACGATGATTCAACTACCATTCACTCGCGTGATCTTTGAGGCATTCCGATAGTTTCATTCCAATTCCCACGTCATTTGCCAGTCTCCACGTCGGGCCGATTTTGTTTCCACCGACGCACTTTGCGCACGAAGGCTCCAACCCCACCATCCGCTACTTGTTGAGCGTTTTGATCTTCCCCGTGGGGGTTCTCTGGCTGACCGGCTGCTTCTGCACATCCAAGCTTCTGCCCGCGAAGTATCACTGGAATGGCTCCAAAGTCTGCCACGTGGCACAATCCGCTCTTCATCGGTTCACGGGAGGAATCCGACACAAAAAAGAACAATGCAGGGCTTCTTGCTCCAGTAGAAGTGCCCTTGTTCGCACCTTGTTCCTATACTATAAGACCAGGAGCCCCGAAAAGAGCGTCCGAACATTGCTCCGAACTCGTCGCGAAGAGCGTCGGATGAATCCGGCAGGTCAGACGAAGTCCGCACATCGGGACGGGGCCAGGCCTCAGTGTCATCCATGTTGAACCACACTCAGAGGGATGATGAGGGATGATTATCTATATAAATCAGCACTGCCAAGCCAAGCACTATCCACATCTATCCATCTACAGTTGGGAACACCTGGCAACATTTAAGACCAGACTCAGAACTCTCCACAAATGATTCCTTCACGTCTTTCGACACCACGCGTTTCCGCCTTTCCGCTGTCGAGTCTCGCGTTGCGTGCGTTTGGTGCGTAAAACGTGTTGCAAAAAGTGCTTGTTGAGGCAGCACCATTGGTGCCTTCATGCAGATGAGCTTCAGCACCATGTCGCGGCCTTGGCGGTCCGCGTGAAGCGTTAACTGCCTGTGTTTTCTTCCGACGGGCACACAGCAGCGGTTCTTCGTCACGTAGGTCCGTGAAGACGTGGATCGAAGCTGCGAGATCGCAGAGAATTTGGAGTTTTGCAGTTTGGAGCTTCCAATGCTTCCAAGTCTTGCAGCGGCTGAATAAGCGTTCAACATCATGGTTTCGCCACTCGCCATCACAACACAGTGAGGTCGGCAGCATCATTGGCTCCTATGATGTGACTCAGCAGCGCAGAAAGGTTTTCCCTGCGAAGATGGATTTCCTCGACCCGCAAGCGTCAGATGCCATGTTTTCATGTCATATTCAAGGGGTGTTTTTTCATGGGTTTTTGCATGTGTCAATCCAAGTAAACGCGACGAAGAAGACCGGTCCAAACCCGTCAAAACCGGAAGTCTCCACACGTGTTCCGTTCGCTCTCGAACTCTCACTGCCCCCCCGGCACCTAGCAACAACCTGGGCGCCGACAGAGTCCTAGGTGCTACAAGCATCCCAACGGCCTCCGCAGCGTTTTGAAGTATCCGGATGTGATTTGTGGGTCCGAGGAAGCGGGAAGGGCTCACTCGCTCGGCATGCTCGGCTGTTTCGAGAGGTTGTTCGACCGATGCGCGACGCTACAGTACGACATGCGCGACGCGACAGTACGGTTGGAGTGGCGGACCCGTGTGAAACCGGACGCAAGACCAAAGGGGTCGACCGACCGACCATACTTCCGCCATCTGCAGGCCAGCGTCGGCGTGAACCGCAGATTTGTTCAGAGATCCAAGAGATTTGGGGAACGATATTGCTGTAGATTTTAGGGGAGTCATTCACTGGATTAGATTCATGCACCCGGTGCAAAAATGAACATCGAATCTATATATATATATATAGAGACATGCGTTTTATGCTTTTGTTTGGCGAGAAACACACAGAGTGAAACCGCTGGGCTTTGGTATACTTAAGCGATCATCATATGCGATCATATTTACTTTAAGCCATGCAGTTCGAGATATGCCTGCACCTCCAGGAGCACACTTTGATGTTGGTGATTGGTTGGTGCATGCTTTGCACTTGTGTGCTCGGCTTCGTTGCCTTGTGCACCTACGCGGTGGTGCGTGAAGCACGGCGGCAGCGTGATCCCCCCCCCCACGGTACCGTTCGACCGGTTCGCTCAGTGGCCTGGGCGAAAGACAGATCGAAATTGATGGAATTGGTCAACAGAACGTTGAACTAAAAACGTTTTAAAGTTGAAAGGGTTAAGCCGGTGGTTTTTGTGCGAAAAAGATCGAGACAGCATGCGAAAGCAATATTTTCTGTGGTCGGTGCTGTTTGGAATCAATTGGTTCCAGTGAATCCTTGGGCTGAAAGGCTGCTGTGCGGATTGTGATTGTGGCTTTTGTGGACTGAAACTGCCCCTTGTGAGATGTTCGGATGCCACATGTCATGGCAACCAGGGCCACCACCCGCGCCCGCGGTGTGCCAAGTGCAGAGAGTTCTCTCAGGTACCTCACTGGAGTGTACGGCGTCGGGACGCCTTTGTGGCTGCTGTCCGGTTCTTGGTCTTCCGCTTTCGCTTGGACGCCTGGTGGTTTGGCGTGCCCCTGCTGGTACGTACCTTGGAGGAGGGAGGCCGTTTGGGAGGGACGAAGCGGGAGGAAACGGGTGAAATTGGATGACATTGGTATATACATGTTTCTTCTTATACATACCATTACATACCACATATAATCAGTTTAATTGAGTTTATAAGTGGTTTTGTCTAATTCTAATCCTTCCTCTTTCTTTCTCCCCAAGTGGTTGCCTCCTGGGAGGCAACCACCCCCTCGACGGTCTTCCGAACGTCGCATCCAGACACCTCGTTTGAGTGGGTCAATGCGTCGCGAAGCACATGCCTTGCGAAACCTCGTTCATTCCAAAACGGAAACGAAGTTCGTTTCGTTCAATCGAGCTGCGTTTCGTCACAAGAGAGATCTTCTCAACGTCTTTCGATTTTTTTTTTGTGGCAGAACATCAACTATAGTTCGCTTCATTGATTGTTCTATGCTTCCCCCGGCCTGGAGTCTATCATAAATGTGGTCTTTGTTCATGGTCTAAGTTCTATTGCCACAAAATATGCTGTCCAACAAACACCTGGGACATTTCCAAGAGGTGCGGATGCAAGTTGCCAAAGGAAACGAATGTTCACTCCCCATTCTGCCAATTTCGTTAAAGGGAAACCTTTTTGCGTGGGGAGATGACATTTTTTGTTCTGCCGCCTCCATTGCCTTTGAACGATCTAGATGACTTCAGGAATGACTATATATAGACTATAGTGGAGTACTGCAAGCCTGAAAAATGAAAGAGCTCACCTGAGGGTTTGGAGGAAGATAAACTCTCCCAGCTGGTTGAAGCGCGGTTGATCCCTTCAAGTTAACTTAATCTGAACGACAGATGCACTTCAACGGAACTTATATAGTCGCTCAACCATGCAAGGTGGGCCTTTGCTCTCATTGCCTGTTGTATTGGCCACGGACTACCCACCAGTGCAAATCGTCTCCATTGCCATGATCTTATCAAGCTTTTTGGTGCCTTGGAACCGATCCAGCGATCGCATCCAGCGATCCAGCTTTTTCGCCCAGGCGCCAGGCTATATATAATCTAGGAACCGAGTCTGAACCGGAAACAGTTCTGGATGCTTCCCCAGAACCGTTTCTGGTTGGGACTGGGGTCTCCATGTTTGGGAAAAATAACTATATATACTTCCGTGGTCGATCCATTGCTTGACTTAGTCCGACGCGCTGACGCAGTGTGCACCCGGTTTTCTAGGACTAGACTAGCCTTAAACAGCTAAACATAGTTGCAACATGTTGGGTCAACGGGGGGGTTGCCCAGAAAGGTTTGCCTTTCCGATGACTCATGGTCTGGTCGGATGCAGATGATCCACTTTGCTGCTGCTGCTGATGATGATGATTATTATTACTATATATATTATTGTTATTACTATTATTATGCGGATGATGGGATGATGAGCTGATGCGCCACGTGCATGATGCGGATGATGCGCTGATGCGTTACGGTGATAAGTGGGATGAGCTGATGCGTTACTGATATGATGCGTGGGATGAATCTGGGATGAACTGATGTGCTACGACATTATGTGTGATTGCTTCCAGGGGGGTTGGGGGGTGGGCGTGGGGCCAAGATGATCAACTTTGGTTGCATGATGGCGTTACGGACATGATGCGGACGATGCACTGATGCGTTACGGGCATGATGCATAGGATGAACTGATGATGATCTACTCAAGTCATCGTCTTTGAGTTCATGAACTCTAAGACGATGAGTTGAGTGGCCCGAAAGGCAAACAAAAAAACATGTAAACGCAGGATGTTGCTTTCCGGGCAAACCGCAACCCCCCCTGTTCACGCAACATGCTGCAAACATTGTGTGTGCAAGTTGTATGCAACGGCAACCCATTGATGATGCTTCACCATAATGCATGCACAGAAGACCATTTGACAAGATCCATTCAGGCACTCACATGACATGAATGAACAATTACCACGTCTCCCGTTTGGTTACTATTTTGGTATCGGGCCTGGGCCATCCTGTGCATGATATAGTCTCGCGCGCAACGGGGGGGTTGCCCAACTTCACAACATCCTCAGCATTTTGCTATTGTTTTCATAGAGCATCGCCATGTTTTCACATCACCATCATTGGGTCAACAACTTTATCATCAGCTCCACAGCATTGTCATTGAATTCACAACATTGTCATCGGCATTCATTGTCATCGAAGAGGGCGTGATTAAATTGGGCTGGGGGGCAAGGAGGGGAGGGCGGGTGGATCATCGAATGCTGTCACATCAGTTTCATTGGCTTCGCAACATTATGTTCATCGGGCTCAAAACATCATCGGCTCCACAACATCGTCTTTGACTTCACAGCATTGTCGTTGGCATTCATTTCTCGACGTGATGATTAGTCAGTTGATGATGTAGTCAGTTGATTTACCATTCCCAGCTGAAAGTCAGAGACCAGTTGTCTGCCAGTTGCTTGAGTGACTGTCCAGGTCTCATGATGGTCCTACAGGGAGTGCCAGCTTAATTGTGCCCGGAGACTTCCTAAATCCCGATGCTGATAACAATTGGCTTTTCAGCTGGAATCATACTGTGTGTTGGTCAAAAAGGACATCATTGACCCATTGGCAGTTTACAAGGTGATTTGGAGGCTCGTGGGCACGTTGTAATGTGTATAATTAATTTACATTAAATAACTATAATTGAAGGAATAAGATTAAATCAATAAAATCATTAAACACATGTACGCGTGCACCCCCCAGCACGTGCTTCTTTTGTGGGGTGCACCTTTCAGGTTGGCCGCGTGTTTTCCCCACCCCATTGGTGCCCCCTTGCCCTCGTGAGGTGGGGCAGATGATCTTCTGGCCCTGGAAGGTGCGATGGACGGGAGTTCCGCGTGGCGGGCGGGACCCCGATTGATCTTATACACCGGTCGTGGTGTTCCAAGTGGCCGGACCGACTCGTTGTCCGAAGCCGGGACGCCGCGCGGTGTAGGAGTTGGTGGGATGGGTGTGCGGTGGTGGCGCGGAAAGCAGAGGAGACTGCAAGCCATGGAAAGGCTTCGATCACTTGCACCCCCAAAATCCACAGACTCCGAACTGCCCAAATGACCTTGCAGTTCGCCACTGGTTTGTAGAAGAGAACTATTGTCAAACCATGTTTTTCTGTTGTGTTCCTTGTTCTTCTTCTTCTTCTTCATCTTGACGCCCCTTGATATTTGCTCCATGAAAAAATCAGGATCCTCCGTGAAACATGGGAGATGTTCGGTGCTTGGTCAGGATGGGCCACTTTGAAAAACCCAAAGTCCATGGGGGGCCGATGACGTAACATGATCCAATTGGTATGACATCTGGATCTTGAGGTGCCCATGCTGAACCTCAGCGACTGCATTGTGTCCTTTTGTGTCACCTTGTTGGTCACCACCGCTAGCCTTCATTTGAAGATCGTGGAGCCTCGGCGGACTTGTGAAGGAGGAGTGGAGAAGTCACCCAAGTCTCGTACCATGAGTGACATGAGTCTTGAAGTCGTCAAGAAACATCCAGGGTGAAGATGTTCATCATTTAACACCTTGTGTTACACAGGTGCCTCATATCCTCATATTTGATTGATCACGTTTGAGTTCTTTTTGGCTCTCTTGTGAAGATTTTCTTTGTAGAAACAACACATACCTTTATGTTGGCCAGTTAGCCAACTTCTATGGGAGTATGGGAAACAAAAAAAGTGCAAAAAAAGTGCAGAAAAAGTGCGTGCATGAAAAGCAAACACAAAATAGCAACGTTCAAGAAAAGCAAAAAAAGAGCAAAAAAAAGAGCAAAAAAAAGCAAACAAAAAAGCAAAAAAGAGCATTTTTTTGGAGGCAAATTGGGCACGCTTCTTTTTTGCACTTTTTTTTGCACTTTTTTTGCACTTTTTTTTGCACTTGTTTTTGCACTTTTTTTGCTCTTTTTTTGCACTTTTTTTGCACTTTTTTCGCACTTTTTTCGCACTTTTTTTGCTTTTTTTCGAGGAAAGTGCAAAGTTTTGGCATTTCCAGAGCCACAAAAAAAGTGGGGAAAAAGTGGGGAAAAAGTGGGAGAACAAATTCCAGAGCCACAAAAAAAGTGGGGAAAAGTGGGTGAAAAATTGCTTTTTTGTTTGTTTTTTTTGTTTGTTTTTTTTCCCTTTTTTGTTTGTTTTTTTTTTCCCTTTTTTGTTTGCTTGTTTTTTGCACTTTTGTTTGCTTTTTTTCTGCTTTGTTTCTGCACTTCTTATCCAGACAGTTTTTCTTTCTGCTTTTTGGTTTTGCTCTTTTTTTGCTTTTTTTCTGCACTTTTTCTTTTTCAATGATTCTTAGAACTTGGCTGTAAGTGGACAACATAAACATACCTGGATTTGATGTGCCATTATTGGGGGGGAGGTCCCTGCAGCCCAACAGTACACCAACCCATGCGAACCCATGCGGGTGAGGGCAGCAAGGGGTCCTTCTCTTTGGTTTGCTTCGGATGGCTTGTTCTGCCATGGCACGAGAACCCAAACTGCTCCTTTTCATCCCGGATCCGGGATGGTTGCGGATGGGCCGCCACTCCGAGGATGGCCCAATGATTGTCTTCGCGGAAGCAGTCTCAACGTCCATGTTGATGCTTGAGCGGTGTTCAGTCGATGCACCATAGCGGTGTTCATGCGGGACCTGGGTGCAGGATGACCTCAAAAGGACCACCTAGAAAAAAAGAGCGCAGAGGCTGAAGGGGGTCTCCCTATGACACATCTAATAGCTACACACTTCAATTTGGTGGAGGTCAAGCCCTGCTTGGTATTCGATGGAAGAGTCTTTCTTCCCAGGGGGTTGTGTGTGCATGTGTGTGTGTGTGTGAGAAGTGTTGGTGAATCTCGTTAACCAAGTCCTCTTGTCTCCAGACTCTCAAGAGCATACGAATATCAAGCAAGAATTATCACCACATTTCCGCACATCTTGCTTATTTAGAATTGGGTGTTTTTGGGGTTGCGGGAGCTCTGGACGATAATGTGCTGTTAATCTGGTACATCGAGGGTCTCTAGATGGAAGACATGGGGCAAAGAGATCGACATCTTTCAAGTTTCAGGGGCTCAGCCGAGCCGAGGAGCTCGATATCGGAGGCACCATGCTCGGTTGAAATAACACTATTTTTTTTCAACAAACATCCACTTCCCAAATGCGTTGCGTTCTTTTTTCCTGGAGCACGGCCCTGCATGTTAGGAGGAACTCTTGTCATGGTTGCGAAACCGTAGTCCAAAAACGTTTTTTCATCAGCTCGCGTGGCAAAGGCTCGCCGCGCGATGAGGAGTGGCATTTTTGCTGCGTTGGGCATCATGGTCCTCATGACCTCGAGTGCTTTGATCTATCGCTCGGCCTTGGGAGGGAAGCAGGAGCGAGCCAACCAATGAAGCGCCCAAAACGTTCGTTCCGCAGAACTGTTTCGCGTGAAATCAACGGTGGTCAGTGGTGATTGATATGGCGGCCCTAGCAGCTCAGAGACCAGACAGCGGGTGCAGTGAGAGGTGAGGCCGAGAAGAACAGTCCAACAGCACCAAGAGCTAGGCACAAGAAGCTACTAGGAGCAAAGGGCATCGCTAGTAGGAGCAAGGACGCTACTAGGGGCTCCTGGCCTTACTACTAGTAACAAGGACGCTACTAGGAGCTTTTTGAAACTGTTCACTGACACCATGACGTTCCCCAGCCCTGCATGACGTCCAGTCCAGCTTTGAGTGTTTGCTCGCTCCGCTCCCCGTCCGGCAGCGCTGGGACAGGAGCTGCGCATCTTCAACCTGGGACCAGTCACGAACTCCAAGCGGCTGGCGATGAAGGTCAAGGCCGGGAGGCTCCACCTGTCTGAACGAATGCCTTCAGAATGCCTTGATAGGATTTCGATGGGACCAGAGGATGGTGAAATGAACAAGACGCCCCCCCGTGGTGTTCGACCAAGTTGCTCAACCCCCCCCTTAGCTGGGGCGACCTTTTGGGGTGCGCAGCACAATCTGATTCATGGTTTTCCTATTGTTTTCCTACTGAAACCGATCCTCCAACTCACCAAACCGTCGCCCGAACCCAGCGACTCGAGT